TATACTGAAATGTAAATTTTGTTGTCTTATGCGCGTTACCTAGTATTCTCGGCTTTTTTTTTCTATACAAAAATTCTTTTTTTGCATTACGCTTAAAAAAAATAACAGGCTTCCAAATAAGAGTTGGCTTTGACTACTTATAGCGTTAGTAAGGATCTGGCCAATTTGGCCAATTACCGACATGATTCAGATATTCCGATACTAATTAAATTTTATTATACAGTTTGTCCAATGGGGTAATATAAAAGTTATTTACCATAGCTAGATTTGATCCTGACGCTTAAAAATACATAAATGATTTGATAGATCTTATCAAAAGCAACTTAATTTATATGTATTTTTCGCAATTACACTTTTAAATCAAAATTAAATTAATATAAAAATTTTGATGATTAGACTGCTTGCACCCCGAAGTTTACAAAATATTTGGCACATAACTATTAAAACATAAGACACAAATGCATACATAAATATAACTGGCTTTTGACAATTTTCTTAAAAATAGTTGCTGTATTTTGGTTCATTAAATCATATATTAATTAACTTAAAGTGTACGTCTGAATAGTTATGCAATCTAAGATATTAAATTGAACAGGTTCACGTACGTCAACGAGAACATGTGGGATGCCTTTGGCTCTTAAAGCACAATAAGACTGAAACATGATTTGTTCATCAATTCAACATCCATTTATTGTATAGTAACACCTTAATTAATTACCTTTGGGTCTATTCTTTCGTCATCTCCAAGTAATTTCACTGAGGGTGACTGCAGATTGATCGCTAAGATTGCAACAAATTATATAAACACAGAACGTTGTTTTAGTTTCTCATACCTTGTCCAATGCGCCGCTGCCACAAAATTGAACATAGTCTTGCAATGTTGTTATAGTTGGATGATCGCCACATATCACACAATCAGATTTTTTGGATCTTAATTTAACGGATCGAAAAAGAGGGTTCGAGTTAGCCGAGAATATTAAAAGACTTTGAGAGATTCCGTCATCTAAATGTTAATACAATATAGAACGTTACATGCCTTTCACATTCAAATATTATAAATAGAGATCTGATAATATTGACTAGTACTATCAATATTATAGAAAAATAGAATGAACAACCAGCTTCGGTGAGAATATTTTTCAGACAATGGATGTTTTTTCTCCTTCAGATCTATTCGACACGTTGATATAAACATCGATAAAAAAAGAATTGATATTGTAAAAATGTTGTGTTTATCAAAACATCTTACTAGAACCATCTCTGATTTGGTAAATGTGGGGTTCTTCTACAAAAATATAATCACTATTTAACAAAGGCGGTTTATAACTATTAAAACAGATGACCAAAATGTGGACATTTGTTAAAGAAAAGCAAAGAAGCATAAGAAAATGATGG